GCATGACAGGGGGAACTTCCCCAACCCCTGATTGGCCCTGCTCTGTGCGTGACAGGGTACGGAGCCCCAATCCCCCCTGATGGGCCCTGCTCTGTGCGTGACAGGGGGCAGCACCCCAACCCCCTGATTGGCCCTGCAGAGTACGGAGCCCCAACCCCCCGATGGGCCCTGCTCTGTGCGTCACAGGGGGTGGCGCCGCAACCTCCCCATCAACCCTGCCTTGAGTGTGATAGGGGGCGGCCCCAACCCGCCAATCGGCCCTACCCTGAGCGTGACTGAGGGTGGCATCACAACCTCCAAATCCCGCCCTGCTCTGTGCATGACAGGGGGCGGCGCCCCAACTCCCCAATCAGCCCTGCTCTGAGCCCGACCAGAGGCTGCACCTAGGGATTGGGCCTGCCCTCTGCCACCCAGGAGCAGGCCTAAGCCAGCAGGTCGTTATCTCCCGAGGGGTCCCAGACTGCGAGAGGGCACAGGCCGGGCTGAGGGACCCCCCCTTCCCCCCCGAGTGCACAAATTTTTGTGCACCGGGCCTCTAGTGTATTTATAACTTGCATGGCTAGTCTATTTGGGGAGGATGTATTGAAGTGGAGAACTATTATGAACACAAAGGATTTAAAACGTAGACACCAGAGCATGATTTGTATTGAGTAATAAATTCAAATTGAAGATGTGGTACATGACTAAAGTGGATAATCTGTCACTTAGTCATAAAGTACAAGATTTATGGTAATGTTAAGACTCTGAAAGATGAAAACATAAGAAGTTATAGTTTACATTCTAAAGGCTCTCATGAGAAAGTTAAGGACAATTAAATATTAATACCTAAATTCTACAGGACTTTGAAAACACACAGATAAAGAACAGAAGGTGATAACTATCAGGATCTAGACTAATCAAAAGCCATGTCAGTTTGACATCTTTAAGAAAAAATGAATAAGCCCTGGCCAGTGTGGCTCAGTTGGTTGGAGCATCATCCCATTTATCGAAAGGTTGCAGATTCCATTCTTGATCAGGACACATACCCAGGTTGAAGGTTCCATCCCCACTTGGGGCATGTACAGGAGGCCACCAACCAATGTTTCTCTCTCACATCAATGTTCTCTTTCTCTCTCTCCTCCCCTTCTCCACCCTCTAAGATCAATAACCATATCCTCGAGTGAGGGTTTAAAAAAATAAAATAAAAAATGAATAAGGTATGGTCCTTAATTTTTAAGAACTTAGAATCTTTTAGTGAGATTTATATGAGAGAATAATCTGATTATCAATAGATAAACTTTCCCAGGATGATATTAACATTACTATTACAAATTACCAAGGATGCGACCTTCTAAAAATTGTGACACTGCTAGCAGACAGGGCTTTATGGAAATTACAGAGGACAGGGCTAAATGCCATAATATACAAAGGGGTTTAATCCTGTGCTTATTAACTAGTAAGATCTCTTTGGCAACACTAACTCATGTAAGTTCCTATACGTGAGGATCAGAAAAAGGTAGCTGGGGACCAGATATGCTGGTACCACTCAGTCTCCATACTCTTCTTCAGGACTACGCTCAAACTGAAAATGAATGAGAATATGCATAAATGGAGAGTAGAGAAAAAATTTTTAAACTCATCCCTCTCCCAATCAAAACACTTTGAGCTTGAAGTATGCTTGAAGCAAAATAAATATTATTCCAATAAGTCAGTACAGTGAAATTTGCCTATGTGGGCCAAATTTAGTCTATAGAACCCCCACCAAATTCGTATATGTGTAAATTCTTCATCGCTTCTCGGCCTTTTGGCTAAGATCAAGTGTAGTATCTGTTCTTATCAGTTTAATTCTTCAATCAACTTGCTTACTAAACTTACCAGTTTCTTAGCTTCTGCTCCACTCTTTATTTTGTGTGGGTACTTTGCTATCACAGATGCTGCTTTTCTATAAAAAAAAGAAAAGAAATTAGAAATCCACTAAGGTCTTAATTTTTCTTAAACTGGAATACAAATACAAGCAAATATGCAGCTTACACTTTCACCAAGATCATTCATTTTCCACATCTGTAAAACTTATAAAAAACACACACACAGATGAGCTGAAACCACATACCTCTCTATTAGAGATATATCTTGAAAATCCTCACAATTGAGGCCTCAAAATTACAACTAAATTACCGAACAACCATAAAAAAGAACCAGTCAGAAATGAAGGATACACTAACTGAAATGAAGAATAATTTACAGGGAATCAATAGTATAGTAGATGAAGCCAAAAATCGAAACAGCAATTTGGAATATAAGGAAGCAGAAAATACCCAATCAGAACAGCAAAATGAAGAAAGAATCCAAAACGCGAGGACAGTGTAAGCAGCCTCTGGGGCAGCTTCACGTACACCAACATTTGTGTCAGGGGGTGCCAGCAGAAGAGAGAGAGAGCAAGAAGTTGAAAACCTATTTGAGAAAATGACAGAAAACTTCCCTGACCGGGTGAAGAAAATAGACATGGAAGTCCAGGAAGCACAGAGAGTTCCAAATAAGATAAACCCAAAGATGCCCACACCCAGACACATCACAATTAAGATGCCAAAAGTTATCATTAAAGAGAGAATCATAAGAGCAGCAAGAGAAAAGCACTTAATTACCAACAAGGAAGCTCCTGTAAGACGGTCAGCTAATTTCTCAACAGAGACTTGGCAGGCCAGAAGGGAGTGGCAAGAAATATTCAAAGTGATGAAAGGCAAGGACCTCCTCTACCCAGCAAAGCTATCAATTAGAATCGAAGGGCAAGACTAAACAGTTCCTCTCTGAAGCCTGCTCTGACTCAAATGATAGGGTTGAAAATATCTCCTGACTGCTACGTCATCAAATGTGTGGATGACAGGACCATTACTTTATATGAGAAGCCATAGGAGGTAAAGGGGAGAGTATAATCCTTTCTAATAATTATGCTGGCTGGGGAGAAAAGGAGGAAGTTGAGTTCGGCTTTGGAAAGGTAAAGATTAAGGGGTTATAGACGTAAAAAT